GGGGGCCACCACTGAGAAGGCCCTGCTCCTCGTCCCCGCCAGCCTCACTTGTGACAGTGGCGGGGTCGAGAGTAGGGCCTCCCCAGAAGATCTTAAGCTTTGAGATGGGACATAGAGGGAGATCCGTTCGGACAAATACACTGGGCCGGAACCGTATAGGGTTTTGTAGGTCAAAACCAGCACTTTGAATTGTGCTCGGAATTGGATTGGCAGCCAGTGGAGCTGATGCAACAGGGGGGTTGTATGCTCCCTGTACATCGTTCCGGTGAGCAATCTGGCTGCTTCTCGCTGGACTAGTTGTAGTTTCCGAGCAGTCTTCAAAGGCAACCCCACGTAGAGTGCGTTGCAGTAATCCAGCCGGGATGTGACAAGAGCGTGGATCACCGTGGCCAGATCTGGCTTCTCAAGGTACAGGCGCAGCTGGCGCACAAGTTTTAATTGTGCGAAAGCTCTCCTGGCCACCGCTGAGACCTGGGGTTCCAGGCTCAGCGATGAGTCCAGGATCACTCCCAAGCTGCGAAACTGCATCTTCAGGGGGAGTGTACCCCCGTCTAACACAGGCTGTAACTCTATACCCTGTTCGGCCTTACGACTGACCAGTAGGACCTCTTTCTTGTCTGGATTCAATTTCAATTTGTTAGCTCTCATCCAGTCCGATACAGCAGCTAAACACCGGTTCAAGGTCTGGACAGCCTCCTTGGTGACAGGTGGAAAGGAGTGACAGATTTGGACATCATCTGCGTAGAGATAACATCTCATTCTGAAACTCCGAATGATCTCTCCCAACGGCTTCATGTAGATGTTAAATAACATCGGGGACAAAATTGAACCCTGTGGGACTCCACACAACAACAGTTGTGGGGCCGAACAGGTGTCACCCAATAACACCTTCTGGGTCCGTCCCTCAAGGAAGGATCGGAGCAGCTGCAAAGCAGTGCCCCCGAGCCCCATATCCATGAGGCGACCCAGAAGGATACCGTGATCGACGGTATCGAAAGCCACTGAGAGGTCCAGCAGAACTAACAGGGACACACTCCCCCTGTCCAGTTCCCTGCGAAGATCATCTACCAAGGCGACCAAGGCTGTCTCAGTTCCATGTCCCGGCCTAAAGCCAGACTGTGTCGGATCCAGATAATCAGTGTCTACCAGAAACCCCTGGAGTTATGTTGCCACCACACGTTCCATGACTTTGCCCAAGTAGGGAAGATTGGAAACTGGCTGATAGTTGTCGAATTGAGTGGGATCCAGTGATGGTTTCTTCAACAGCGGTTTTATAATAGCTTGTTTTAAGCTCGCTGGAAATTTTCCTTCCTGTAAGGAGGCATTAACCATCACCTTCACCCACTCCGCCAAACCCCCTCTGGCTTTCTTGATCAGCCAGGATGGGCAGGGGTCTAGGATGCATGTGGTGGGTCGCATCTCTCCAAGGATCCTGTCCACATCCTCAAGCTGAACCAATTGAAAAGAATCCAATAAAACTGGACAAGCAGATGCTCTCGTTACATCTCCAGAGACTGCCGTTAACAGGACGCCAAAACCCGACCGAATCCGCTCAATTTTATCCGCGAAGGATCGAGCAAATGCTTCACAGCGAGCCACCGAGTTGTCCGAGGCCTCGCTTTTTGGCGGATTTAACAGGCCCCTGACAACTCGGAAAAGCTCCGCCGGACGATTCTTCGCTGATGCAATATTGGCTGTGATGAATGTTTTCTGAGCTGCCGTTATTGCCACACCGTAGGACCTTAGAAAGGCATTCAGGTGTGTTTGGGCTGGATTGGTGGGGTTCTGGCACCACACACACTTTAACCTCCTCTTCTTTCGCTTCATCGCTGCCAGCTCCTCGGTGAACCAAGAGGCTGGTTTAGCTCGGTTACTCGAGAGGGGGCGTTCCGGAGCGACAGTGTCAATTGCCCTAGTCAACTCATTATTCCAACGAGAGACCAGAGCATCGACAGTATCACTAGCCGAGGAGGTGGAAAGATCCCCAAGAGCCGTCAGGAGTCCATTTGGATCCATAAGTCTCCTGGGNTCGAGAGGGGGCGTTCCGGAGCGATAGTGTCAATTGCCCTGGTCAACTCATTATTCCAATGAGAGACCAGAGAATCGACAGTATCACTAGCCAGGAAGGTGGAAAGATCCCCAAGAGCCGTCAGGAGTCCATTTGGATCCATAAGTCTCCTGGGGCGGACCATTCTAATGGGTCCACCACCCCTGCGGAGGTTAGGAGGCCCAGTTAGTCTAAATCTGATCAGGTGGTGATCGGTCCATGGCAACGGAGCGATGGTCGGCTCCTCCATCCCGTCACCCTCATCCCATCCCTGGACAAAAACCAAATCTAAAGTGTGACCTGCACTATGGGTGGGACCAGATATTAGTTAGGACAGGCCCATGGTTGTCATGGCGGCCATGAAGTCCTGAGCCGCACCAGAAAGAGGGGCCTCGGCATGGACGTTGAAATCTCCCAAGACCAGGAGCCGTTGGAAGCTCAACGCCATGTCCGAGACCACTCCCGCTAGCTCAGGTAGGGAGACTGTAGTGCAGTGGGGTGGTCGGTACACTAACAGAATCCCTATCCTGTCCCGGTCACCTATCCTGAAACCGGCACATTCAAAGGAAGATGAGGCCAGGGCACATAGTAAACATTGCTCCATGCTATCTTTAAATCCTTAAATATTGCTTAATTTCACATCTAAGTTGTGCTGACGGCACTCACTGCATTTGCTCCAGGAGAATCCCAGCGTTTCTGGTGACGGCCTGCACCTCTTGAAGTTTCCTCTGGATATCACTCCAGGCCACATCTCGCTCCATAAGACAACCCTCGACCACAGCGCGCAGCTCCTGCTCTTGGGAAACCTGTCCCTTCAGCGCTTCCACCTCCTCGCATTTCTGCAAGAGAATGGGACAAAAAGGATTTGAGACAAAAGTTGAGAACCCTGGGTCCAACAAGGAATTTAAAGAGGGGTTTAGGTTCTTAGGGATATAGACTCCCAAATATTTTGGCTTTTTGGCCCAATTTTATGAGCAGAGGATACAAAAGATGAGGGTCAGCTCATTAGTGAGCAAAGCGTGAAGTGCTGTGTGACGTGGCTGCAAAGAATCAAGAGCTTAGGCAGGCAAAGATGCAGAGTCCAATCTTAAAAAATCACAAAGGTTTATTTACAAGAATAAAAAACACATTTCTTAATAATCAAGAACTTGGTCTGAGCTACTCTAAAACCATCTTTTCTAAAGTTTCAAGACAGGTAAAAAACACCAATCACTACATCTCTCCTGACATGCAAGCAGAGAGCGAGCTCTTAAAGCACCCAGCACATACTCAGATGTAAAAAACAGAAGTCAAAGTAAAGGCTTGCAGTAGAAAAGTATCCATTCTACACAACCAATCAGAATGAGAGCAGAAACGTCAAGAAGAAATAGATACATTGCCAACTGTCATACAGGAGACATGGGGTGAAGGCTTATTCTAAGCTAACTAAACTGTTCCTCATTGAGGACTTGAGACTTAGGAAGTGTGGGGTTGAATTCCAACAGACCTAATATTTTTTCAAACTTTAAAAATTATTTTTGTTACTTCCTTTGCCAATTCCTCTGAGGAACTTATTAGTACCATAGCGTCATCAGCAAATATATTTTTTTCTTGCCAGTCTTATGTCTTTTAATTTTTCACCCTTCCTGATTAAATTGGCTAATGGTTCTACTGCCACAGAACCATGAGGCCATAAAGAGAGGCAGGTAAGAAATAATAACATCATCATCATCATCATCATCATTATTATTAGCAAATAGGATTTGTGAGAGAGGTCATCCTTGTTTTGTGCCCCTTCTAATTTTGATGGTTTTGATTTGGAGCCATTGTTTACTATTTCTGCCTGATTGTCTTTATATAGTTCCTTAATTACTTCACAAATCGTTTCCTCCAGTTTAAAGTCCTCGCATACTTGGGACAAATATTGATGATTTACTGAATCAAAAGCTTTATATACATACAATTTCATTGTGAATAATTTCTATTTTTCCCTTGTTGCATGATTCATTATGTTTAATATTTTCCTAACTGGGTCTGCTAAGGAATTTAAAGAATCTTTGCTAAACCTTCCTAATTATTGGTCAATACAGATAAGCTGGAAGTGGCATCAGATTGCTTTTCCAGCCCAACTTTCCCCACATTTTATGTGTGCACCCATATAGCTGTATCTCTCCCAAGAAGCAGCAGACAAATATGCAGGTATCAGTGGAACCCAACCAGTCTATCCCACCCTAAAGCAGGTGGGTTGACAGTAGAAAGGCAGAGACTTCCCAGTGAGCTTAAGGAGGCAACTTCCTACCTTATGGAGCTGAATAGCCAACTCCTGCATTTCTGCCTCCAAACGGTCAGCATATGCCAACTCAAGGGCATCACTGGGAGGCCTGGCACTGCTGTGCCATCGAGCAATGGCAGAAGTCATCTTCCTCTTTGGTCCAAATAGCCTAAAGACAGGAAAAATGGATCAGGGTTAACATCTTGTTGCTTGTGTCTGTTTAAAAAGTTTGGAAAAAAGAAAATGCAATCATATTTGTTCTCTGTGTTGTTGTTTATTTGTTCAGTGGCTTCCAACTCTTCGTGACCTCATGGACCAGCCCACGCCAGAGCTCCCTGTTGGCCGTGGCCACCCCCAGCTCATTCCAAGTCAAGCCAGTCTTGCCCTTGGTCAGCCCCTCTTCTTTTTTCTTTCCATTTTCCCCAGCATCATTGTTTTCTCTAAGCTTTCCTGTCTTCTCATGATGTGGCCAAAGTACTTCATCTTTGCCTCTAATATCCTTCCCTCCAATGAGCAGTCGGGCTTTCTTTCCTGGAGTATGGACTGGTTGGATCTTCTTGCGGTCCAAGGCACTGTCAGGATTTTCCGCCAACACCACAGTTCAAAAGCATTTATCTTCCTTCACTCAGCCTTCCCAAAGGTCCAGCTTTCACATCCATAGGTTACTACGGGGACTACCATCGCTTCTCTGTACTGAAGACCAAAGTGATATGACAGATATCCACAAATAACAGAAGCTTCAAGCAGACTGGTGTTTGCTGGATCTTAAAGAAACCCATGGAATGAAGAAACCTAACCCTAACCTTCAGCTGAGACATAAGGCTTCACTGCCAGCCTCCATGCATGAATGAATGAAGAAGTTTTGTTATTACAGTCACAGACCAGGAGCAAAAAACCTTAAAATATTAAAAACATTCTATGGACTCACGTGATGCCAATCTCTTTCAGGTCACTCTCCGTTAGAGTTAGAAAGATGCGAAGGTCAACATCCTGTTCCTCAAATACCTGCAGATATTTCAGACAGCCAATCTGTTCTAGGAAGGTGGCAAGATCCTGCAACACAGGCAGAGCAAAACAGAGAAGGAACCATTTATAATGATTGAAAATCTAGCCCAAGACATAGTACACAGGCATTTGATTGTTCTGTGCCTGTGCTGTCACGCGTTGGGCCTGTGAGTAATGACCATTTACAGGATATGCCCAAAGGGACGCCAGGGTGCCTCGGCTGAGATGCCTTTCAGATTTCCCCACACAAAGTTATTTTGAGTCTTTTGATAAGTCCAACAAAGTTTTATTAGGGATAAAATCTTCAAACACGGATTAAACACTCTATAACTTTGGAAATTGGTAACTTCTTCAATCTGCCAACAAGGGACAGGCAACCGCTTAACAAACTGTTTCTTTCTTCTTTAAGGGAAATTCTAGCCTCTGACCCCTCCCTGAGCAATCTCTTTACTTTGCTGGCGTGGGCCCTACTCCCGGTTCCAATCTGCGTTACGGGTGACCCGAGTAGACCTTACCAGGCAAAGTCTTTGTAGATTTCCAAGTTGAAGGAAGTCCTTTACTATCCAGCAAAGCTGGCTGTATTCCCTTTTTCCAGCGAAGGCTGGCTGTAGCTAAATTTCCCCAGCAGATTGCTGTGAGAACTAAAGCCTTTTCCAGGTGGGAAAGAGAAACCCAACACATCCTGTCTGAAAGGCTTCCAACTGTAAACTGCCTAAAGTCTTCCTTTTCCCTTGAAAACCTGGGGAAAGGGACGGATCTAAAGGCTGCAACGATGATTGACAGGTTGTTGGCCCTATGATTGCACCCTGTAGGAAGCTACCAAATTGCAAAATGCATAGCCTACAAGAATTCATGCAAACAAGCAAAGAAAGAAAACGGAGATTCAAACCCCTGGTACAGTTGTGCCAGCACAGTGCCCATCACCAGACCTCTATAAAGAAACTGATTGGTAATGCAGTCTATTGTTTTTAAAGTTTGCTTTTTTAATGTGCTTTATTCAATTTTTATTCTATGCAGATTTTGTTCAGTAAAAATATTTTTAAAATATTTCTGTAAATTCAAGACATTCCCTCAAGGCCCTGCTGCTATTCACCATGAAAGTTTGACTTTTATCTCACTTTCACTCATTGACCTTTCACTTTATTTTCCCCTCATACAGAAGCTGGAACACGAGATTGTGCCCAACATTTCTCATTGTTACCTGTGGCCCTGTGTACGGTGGCGCCTCTGGATTGGAGGGACTAAAGGACCGATTAGAGGTCCGGGATCTGCAAAACCAGTGGCTATCACTATTACTATAACGATTTTTGGCCTTCGTGTAGCTCTTGACATGCCTTCGGTTGGAGACTTCTGTTGCATTGTCTGAATCCTGAAAGAAATAAGAAATGGCAGCATATTCTTGAGGCTTGGGGGGGGGGGGGGGTTGTTAGGAGTTCGATACAATGCAAAATCACAAGAATGATCACGGGGTATCAAGACAAAAGAAGGACATAATTATCCTTTTGCWGCACCCCATTTGTTCAGAAAGAATCCTGATGTGTCGCACTATGTACTTGTCAATATTATCTGGGGGAAAACAACAACTAAAAACAGAAATGTTAGCCAGGTACAAAAGGAATCAAAAACCATTTGGAGGCAAAAAATAATGTTTGAGAGCAATATAATGTATACAACTAAATAGCTATTTTGACACTGTAATCATCTTTCAATTGCCAGGCTAGCTTTTAATTGGGTCCTTATACAGGTAAAATATTCAAAATGCATGAATCTAGTTTGGGAGTTGGCATTACTTCATGAAATCAGATTGGTAGGTCTAGAGTGCGTGCAGATGTGCCTTCACATTTCCTGCCAACCTATGGTGACCATGAATTTCACAGGGTTTATTTTAAGCCATGGAATAGTCAGAGGCTGGGTTGCTATGAGTTTTCCGGGCTGTCTGGCCATGTTCCCGAAGCATTCTCTCCTGACATTTCACCAACATATATGGCAGGTACTCTCAGAGGTTGTGAGGTCTGTTGGAAACTAGGCAAGTGAGGCTTATATATCTGTGGAATGTCCAGGGTAGAAGAAAGAACTCTTGTCTGTTGGAGACAAGTGTGAATGTTGTAACTGATCACACTGATCAGCATTGAATAGCCTTCAAAGCTTGGCTGCTTCCTGTTTGGGGGAATCCTTTGTTGGAAGGTGATTGAGTCCCCTCCTGGGTGAGAAAGACGGGCTAGAAATGTCATAAATGAATAAATAAATAGTTGGCCCCGATCGTTTCTTGTCTGGAATTCCCATATTTTTGAGTGTTACTTATTATTTACTGACCTAATTTTAGAGTTTTTTTTAAAATACTGGTAGCCAGATTTTGTTCATTTTCATGGTTTCCTCCTTTCTGTTGAAACTGCCCACCTGCTTGTGGATTTCAATGGCTTTTCTGTGTAGTCTGACATTCCAAGGCTGTTTTACCAGTGGGTGACAATTCAGTGGGGATTTGAATTCTTGGTTCCAAACTCTTAGTCCAACACTTAACAACTACACTAATAGTAATCTGTATCCTGCCCTCCCTCCGTGTGTTTTGGACTTCAACTCCCACAATTCCTAACAGCCGATAGCACTGGAGTTGGCCCATGCCAGATTTAAAAACTAAAAACATACAAACATTAACATAGAATTAAACATTAACAGTACTAAAAACAGTTACAACCTAATGCTCCCTTGATCTTAGAAATCCCCTTCTTTCCTTCTATCTGAATAAAAAGGTTTTGGCCTGCCGCCAGAAGGATAGCAAGGAGGGGGCCATCCCGGCTTTCCTGAGAAGGAGGGAGTTCCAGAGTTGAGTAACTCCTCGCCCAGTGTTTGTCAATTCAATTATACAAGGAAAGAGCACACAAAAGAAACAGTGAACCAAGTCACAACTCAGAGCGGAACAGTAATCTAGAGAAATGTGGCTTATGTAACACGTACTGATGCTCCTCCTCCACCTCACTTTTCTGTTCCATCGAGAGTATAACCTGATAATTGTATTCATAGGAGAGAGCCTGCTTTTTAGCAGTCTGTGTGCCAAAATCCAGATGTACCTCATTGCTCTCCAAAGAGCCCTCGCTGCTGATCCCCACAGCATTGGCCAAAGCTTCGCTGCTGCTGCTGCTGCTCTGGATTCTAATGGTGGTCAAGTCATTGGTGAAAGAACTGCCTTCTGAAACAGAAAGAAATGAACAGTGAGCTCTCTCACTCAGGTGTAGCAGATGCTTAGTGAAAGAAATTAAAATAACAAGATTTAGTGTGTCTTGACGATTACTTATTCAAGTGGAAAATACCCCTACGTGAGAAAATGTTGGCTCAAAGGGCTTAATATAGCTCGACTTCCTGGACACTCGGATTTGAAATTAAAAACTCTTGACTATTCAACACAACAGAATTAAAGTTACCTCGGCTGCTGCTGCTTTCCACATCATGCTCGTTAATAGGGGAGGTGACATCTCTGCAGCAGAGACTGCCTCCTTCAAGACCACTCCCATCGTCGTTAAAAGTAACATAGCCTTCCAGAGGGATCTGCTCTGTGTGGAAAAGGGGACAAAGGAGAGGAAGAGAGGTGAACAAATGAACAGGAAATATTCGTTGGATGTTAACGGTTGAAGTGAAGTCATAGGGGCAATGAGGCTAAGACACCTTTACTCTAAATGTGTTGTTGTAAAAATGCTCAAATCTAAACAAAGCCACCAAATCTCAACATCTTACAAGCTCGTTTGGTGAAGACATGAGAGAGAGGCTTCTCTCAACTGAGCAACTCTAATTCAATCAGCCTTTGGGCAACTGGTTAGCAGCTCAGAAGAATAAATGTGCTGTAGTTCCCCCCAAAAGTGTTCCACTGTTTAATATGACAATTTGTTTAACCTCCCCATTTTGTCTGGATCACCGTATCAGCCTGGGACCGACTGCTTCCCTTCTCTGCCATAAAGAAGGGAGGTGGTAGATAAACAGGTAGATAAGACACCTGTTTTGTGAGGGAAATTGAAACTGCAGTTAACAGACTGTGTGCACAGCATTTGACCACCAGGGGGCAGATGGAAGTTGGGGCTGATATATACAGCATGTTTGAGTCGGAAAACTTAGAACTCTTTTTAGGATTGTGGAAAGAAGGAATAAACCACTTGTCTCCAGCATTTTATTATTGTCAGCTTGATTTTAACTCCAAGATCTTCCAGAATCTGATACATTTATTCCTGTTGGATATGGAGACTCATCTTGGCCTAAAGGGCCATGACGGGACACCAATGCACCCCGAATTGCCACCTATATGGGGCACTCTGAGGGCAGAAACTGTTTTCCAAAAATATACTACATCCAAGAGTACTGAAGGAACTAGCAGAAGTCATTTCGGAACCACTGTCAATCATCTTTGTGAGTTCATGGAGAATGGAACAAGTCCCAGCAGATTGGAAGAGGGCAAATGTAGTCTATCTTCAAGAAGGGGAAAAAGGACAGCCCAAACAATTATCATCCAGTTAGACTCATGCTGTTACCAGGCAAGATTCTGGAAAAGATTATTAAGGAAGTGGTCTGCAAACACTTAGAAACGAATGTGGTCATTGCTAATAGTAAACACGGATTCATAAAAACAAGTCATGCCAGCCTAATCCGATCTCTTTTTTTTTTTTTTGAAAAAGTTACAAACTGGGTAGATGCAGGGAATGCCATGGCTGTAGTGTATCTGGATTTCAGGAAGGCCTTCTTTCAGCAAGGTCCCCCATAACCTTCTGGCAAGGAAACAAGTCCAATGTGAGCTAGGCTAGCTGGATCTGGATTTGGTGAACGGATTCAGAGGGGGCTTCTCCCTAATGCTTCCTCTTCAACATGGAAAGAAGTGACTAAAAGGATCAAGGGTCTGGAGAACAAGCCCTATGAGGAGTGGCTTAAAGAGCTGGGCATGTTTAGCCTGTAGAAGAGAAGGTGACAGGAGACCTGATGAGGGCCATGTATCAAGATGTGAGGGCAAGTCATACAGAGGAAGGAGCAGGCCTGTTTTCTGCTGCCCTGGAGACTAGGATTTAATGGAACAATGGCTTCAAACTACAGGAAAGGCGATTCCACATGCACATGACAAAAAAAATCCTAACTCTAAGGAGAGCTGTTCATCAGTGGAGCTTTCTGCCCTGGAGTGTGATGAAGGCTCTTTCTTTGGAGGCTTTTAAATAGAGGATGGATGGCCATCCGTGTGTGTGTGTGTGGCGGGGGGGTTGAATGAGATTTTCCTGCTTCTTGAGAGGGGGTTGGACTGGATGGCTCACAAGGTCTCTTCCAACTCAAGGATTCCATGATTCTATAGTGCTCTCTAAACCACAAATACAGCCCTGGTGGCCACATTAAATCCATGGACTCTACTTTCTTCATTCCTCCCCCAGAGTAATTGTAACAATTTCAGGCTAGCAGGGTAATTTCAGAACCAAAGACTTTAAGTAATACCCTATCATGTCCACCAGAGGACTCTAGGCATCAATTTTTACTGTGGCAGAGAAAGTGAAATTCTAACTCACCATGACATGGAGGGCTTTTCCCACCAATTTTGACGCCTGTTATTTTGGCCAAGGCATATGGTCCTTCATGGATACTGGGGCCTTTGGACTTGCGAACAGGGCGCTGTCTTTGAGGAGCAGAGTAGGACTCGTCCGATGAGCTCAAATCTTCATATTTACCTGAGAATCGAAATGCATAGTGAACACCAGAGTTCTGGTTGTGTGACAAACGAATCCAATACAGTTGCCTGATCTCCCTTCCTCCCCTCATCCCATAACTTCGCATCCCATTTTTAGCCGTGGTAAAAGTCTGCATCTTCACAACCACACTTGTTATTTATCACATATTACACAGAATTAGGAAGATGGTCCACCAGCTAAGTTAGTCTACATTAATCTACAGTCAGGCTGTATGTTGGCACTCTTTGCTGACTCCTTGTCTCCCCTTCCTGGCCTTGTACTGCCATGTTTCATGTAGGGAGTCACAGTACAGAAAAACTGAACAGAGACAGTTAACTCCAAGTTACAGCCTTTTACAGGAGCACTCTTTCAATCTGTTTCACCTTCCTAGATCACTTTATACTCTCAATACAAGTTCCCAGACAACTTCCCCTGAAAGTATTTACTGAAGGCTGATGGTAAGATGTTTTAGGCAAGGCTTAAGAAGCATTACCACTATAAATTTAATTATGCATGGTTTGCCAAGGAGTTGGGAAAAGTCTTTCATTTCTAGCCTCAGGAATTTTTGGTTCTTGCTGTCTGTCTCCTGTAACCTGGGTGGCATTGTTGCCACCCAAAACATTGGAGGGAAAATATTCCTAAGCTTTTATTACATATGCTGCAGGTTTCTGGTCTTTAATCAGTGTACAGACCTATAACCCCCTGTTCTGAGGATATTATCATTTTGAACCACAGAATCTTTTGCAGCTGACTAAAAGAACAATATGACTATTTTGGGTCATTTCAGCTGTGTGATGTTGGAGTCCAGGAAGAATTATAGGAGGATTTCTAAATAGGTTTAATTTCATAGTGGCTGACAGCACAATCATACCCATGTCAGACGTCCCTTAGAGGCCAAGACCTCCCTTAGAGGCCAAGACCTCCCAAAGTTTCTGGTCTATCTTGTTTAAGGTAGTAGGAACATTCATATTAGAAAGTAGAGCAGAAGGCTTGTCAGTTTATTCTTCTCAGCCACAAGCAAGGCTCTACCAGTCTCTGTTCTTTGCAGTTGTTCTGTGTTTTAAATCAACTGCTTGATATTAAGTCTAAAAAGGGGAGATGAATCAGTAATACAAGACCCAGGTTTAGCAGTATTTGTAAAAGATGAAAAAACATGGCTCTAAATTCTAAATAATAGGAATCCATCAATGTACTGTAAAAATGCAAAGTCAGAAACAAGAAATGGAGGAGGCAAGCTATGAATTCAGATCTAGAGAGCTAAAAGACTGTAGCAAAATATATCAGTCACCTGGACCCCTGCAGAGGACCTTGGGCACAGGAGCCATATGGAGATCAATCAGCCCCACTATCTTCATGTGCCCATACGTCATGGCCAGCGTCCGTGCGGTGGCCCCACTGTTGTCCCGCACATCCACTCTCACTCCCTGTTGAGAGGAAGCACACCTTGTTCAATTTTACAGCTAGGAAACGTCCTGCAAGTTCTGAGTGATTTAAGTTGTATATAAAGCTATGATTATCCTATGCAGCATTTCCATTGGATCCACACTAAAAAAAGTTTATCGAGCAACAACTGCTGTAAATAGTATCACTGAGAAAGACAGGAGATACATAATAAAGTACATAAACAGAAAGGCTGAAATGAGAGAGGTGACCACAGCCTAAAGCACAATACCCTTTAGCAAAGGTAACAGACTATATTTCTAGAAGTTATGTAGAAACTAAAGAAATTGGAGGCAATTATTGTACAGATAACAAAGTTGTTACAAGAGAAAAAGTGCTGTTTGTACCAACAGCTTGTATTTTCAATTGTGTGCCATGACACTTCTCGTGCCATAAGAAGTGATGAAAGTAATAATCTCAAATCTTTAAATGAAATACAAGAATATTTCAGTCGGTGACACTTGCATATAAAGTACTACCAATGCTTTGGACCTTCTGAAAATACTCACATGATTAAGAAGGTCCTGTACAATGATCTCGTGGCCAGAAGCAGCTGCTTCCATCAAAGGGGTATATCCACAAAGGGGTTCCCTGGATAACAGAATGCCCAGAAGACTAGGGTTAAAAGGTATGTACAGAAATGATTCAGTGCAGATGTGCTCATCATATATGTCCAGAGGGAAAGAAGGACTAAAAACACCAGGACAAAAAAATAACCAGCAGTTGCTCTTCAGGGTCTCAACACTGATCTCTGTAGTCTGCTCTCCGTGATTATTTTAAACAGATTACAGCCTTCTTCGCCTCCAGAAAGAGAAGGCAACTGAACATCTAAATATTTTTGGCTTACAATATTCAGAGACAGTGAGAATGGCAGTAAAAGTCCAGCTATGACCACCAGTCCTTGAGGTGAATTACTGAACAATAAATCTCCTGCACACAAAGTCTCTTCTATACTACTGCATTTTAGCCCTTCACTGTTCCTGTGTTAATTTGGTGTGAAAGAGAATCTGACATATTATAAATGATGCATTTGAAAAGCTGAACAGAATGCCCCTGAGCCAAATCAAACTCCCTGAGCAATCCTGCCTACTCTCGTCTCAAAGCAATCTTCTGGAAAATTTCTAAGCTGGTGCCATTTCAAATTACAAGTACGAGTTCACAAACTTAAATACATACTGCCACGTAAGACCATTTCTCCAGATGACTTAACAGGTATGACAAAGAAAGATCAGAGGTGAACTATAAGAAGAACATAAAATATTAATATTTGGGTAAAAGTTGAAAGTGTGTAACTTGAGTAGCAGTATAAACCGAATGAATACAGTATGTAACCAGAGCAATAATGCAAATAGTATGATTTTGCACTTACTACATTCAATCCATATTATAATTAGCTCCCAAAACACATGCATATAGAATTGATATATTATTTTGTTGCAGTTACATTGGTCATTATTCTTCAAGCTATTTTGGAAATTCAGCAAAATGTAAGCCTTTCATTGGCCTCCCTCTCTTACCTGCAGTTGGCATTAGCTCCATTGTCCAATAAGAACCTGACCATTTGTTGGTGGCCAGCACTGGTGCAGTGAAAGAGGGCTGTCCAACCATGGATGTCTCTCATCTCCAGCTCGGCACCTTGCTTCAAAGAAATACAAAGCATCTGTTAGTGTAATGTACTTTCCATCCTCAAACCAGTTAAAACCACTAGCATTTCAGACCAAGGTAGCACAGGGATGGGCAACTTCTGGGAATGAGGAGGCCAAACTGGCCCACTCCAGAAACTCTTGGAGGACAACCACCACTGCAATGTTCTTTCCACTCTAGAAATGTTATGCTGGTCCTTTTAAGTTGAAACATGACACTGGATCTTTCCATGGCAATTTAATACCAAGTTACAAATAATCGGTTTTATTTTTGGTTTTAACTGATTGAATGGTGATATAGAAGCACATTAAAGAATGAGCAGGCATAACAGTAAAGTATCAATACAAGGCCAGTACACAGTATAGTAGATGAACAAATGACTAATTCAGGTTGAGGACTAAACTGGGTTTAGTTGAACGTTAGGCATTAGCAGTGTAGTCAGATGGCACAGCTGATCCCCTTCATATCCATTACAAGTATACCCACCTGAAGGAGAAATGAAGCAACACTCTCATTCCCACAGCTAGCAGCCAGCATGAGTGGAGTCTGCCCCTCTAGTGTAGGTACATTAACATTCGCACCTGCCTCTAGCAACAGGTGCACAATGGTATCATGCCCAATATAAGAGGCATACATGAGTGGGGTCCAGCCACCACGGTTTCGCTGATTCAGGTCCACCTCCTTGCTGAAAGAGGAAACAGTTAACTTGGAATGAGCCGAATGTCATAAGCTAACATAAGTTAAAAACCTAGGTGGTTATTCTAATCTGATTTGCTTCTTAGTTTCAAACTAGTAAACATTCTGTTTTAATTTCACTTCTAGATTTAACAATTAATAATTTAAAAAACAGATTAATTCCACTCAATTACTCTCCACATTAGTTTTACTTGTTTAGTGAAGTACAGAGTTATAGGTGGGAGACAGTTATAACTGAGGACCTACCAAATTATTAAGGTGAGATTTCAGTTTACAAATGAGATAAAGGTACACCCCAAAAGCATTCCTCCCACACTTTGTGGGTTGTAGTAGTGGACCATATGGCAAGAACTCTTAGTACAAAAATGAATAGACATTAAATGGTCTTAGCTTGTTCCTCTGCTCTGGCTACTTTTTGGTCAGGATCAAATAAAGTATTAAGAAGTAAATGTAAAAAAAATAACACAAGAAAATTTAAAAATGCAGTTCTCCCCAACTGTAATATAAAATAGTGATATCCTATCCACTTTCATATTCCATTCCCTAACTTTGCTGCATGCATATCTGTATACTGATGATATTCAGTCTTATCAGTAGACTCAACTGCAGTTGGAATGAGTAAGGACTGAAAGAACATCAAAAGTTCTCTACAATGTACCTTTGAATACTTTCCTTTACAACCTCATACTGGCCTATAGAGGCTGCTGTGTGAAGGTCCAATGGAACATCTAACTCTTCGTGGCAGACCATGTGACCCACTCCATGCCACATGGACAAGCTGCGATTCATAAGTTCGGATTCACTGGCTTCATCACTTAGTTCTGACATTGCGTCCTAACAGGTCAAGTAAAATAAACGCCATTAGTGACTCAAGTTCATACAAGAAAGGTAGAGAGGTTTTTATGCCTTTCAGAATGATGAAGCAACATTTGACGATGCTGTGGCCTCTTTGTATGCAGCCTTAAATGCATGAATAAATGAAACTGAGACCCCTTCTACACTTTCTATTGTGCTTTCCTGCATGGACTGGATGGCCCCTGGGTTGTTCCTATTATTATTATTATTATTATTATTATTATTATTACTATATTTTTTGGATTAATACTTTTATTTGAGAAAAAAATACAGTTATATAGACATATACTATGCATTTCCCTCTCTTTTATTTACATTCACTCCTGCGCTCCCCTTCTCCAGAGCCATCTTTTCTTCTAAAGTCACACCAAAAGTTCAATTCTTCATTTGGAGTTAAATTTACATCTTCTTTTTCCAATACTTTTTCTAGAAATTTTCTCCTAATATTTTCAAAGTCATTTTTTACATAACCCCTTCTTTACTTTTAAGTTTGATGTTAGCTTATTGTTCAGTGCCATTTTCAGATTCTTTATACCATTAATTAATCTGTATATTGTCGAAGGCTTTCATGGCTGGAATCACTCAGTTCTTGTGGGTTTTTTCGGGCTATATGGCCATGTTCTAGAGGCATTTCTCCTGACGTTTCGCCTGCATCTATGGCAAGCATCCTCAGAGGTAAGGTCTGTTGGAACTGGGAAAAAGGGTTTATATATCTGTGGAATGACCAGGGTGAGACAAAGGGCTTTTGTAAGTTGGGCTAGGTCTGAATCTTTCAACTGACCACCTTGATTAGCATACAATGGGCTGACTGAGCCTGGAGCAAACTCTTCTTGAAAGGTGATTAGATATCCCTGCCTGTTTTTCTCTCTGCTGTTTTTGCTGTTGCAATTTTAGAGTTTTTTAATACTGGTAGCCAGATTTTGTTCATTTTCATGGTTTCTTCCTTTCTGTTGAAATTGTCCACGTTTGTGGATTTCAATGGCTTCTCTGTGTAGTCTGACGTGGTGGTTGTGAGAGTGGTCCAGCATTTTTGTGTTCTCAAATAAAATTTATGTTAGTTAGCATTATTCTTCATTTTAAATATTTATTTTGCACTATGAACGAGATATGTTGTGAAGTGTGCATAAAAGGAATTGGTTCTTTACAATGAGTTTCCCCAAACACTCTCCACCCATCTGCCATTGTCTGTCAAGTTTTAAAACACAAGGCACCCATTGTGTATAATATAGAAATTATAACCTACATTATAAATTAGCATACTTAATATCTAATATAATATGCAACTGAAGATAAACATTTCGCCTGAAAAGTTGGCGAATGCCCACACTGACCACGCAAGGCCATTTCAAGCTGCTTTATGTAGCTGGCTGTGTTTCCACAAGACCTCCAGCCCGGCCTACCTCGCAGGGTTGCGCGGAAGAGTAAGGAGGAAACGGAGCAGAGGCCTTTCCTGCTTCCTTCGCCTCTCCCTTTAGTAGCAATTCCTACAACAAAGGTCTTGCCTCAAACCGCCTGCTAGGCCTCGCTATACCTCCCCAGAAATTGTACTTCCGGCAAATCCGCCGGAAACAGCCCACAACGCGGGGCCAATCAGAAGCGGCGGAAAGCACTCACGTGACTACCAACACTACCCGGCTTCTTCAATGATCCACCTCTTGGCTCCGCCTCCAAAGAGAAATGAGCCAATAAGCGTCTTGCAACAGGTCCTAACAGGGTAGAGGAAAGATGAAAGTGGAAAAAAAGGAATAAGATCCAAAATGGCATTGTTTTATTCCTCGCTCGCTCTCAATGTATACTATGCTATATTTCCCTCCCCGAAATCTTTTTTTCAAGGCATAAAAAAAACACACGAAACCCGCAATGGTGTTGTTACGAAGCTGCCAAGACCGTAAAAAGGGGCGGGGCGAGGAGATACGAAGGTTTGCCGTTGGAAATATCTGGGGGTAAGTAATAAGAGGACAGCGTCCTGTTGTCAAGGCAACGGACTTTATATCCCGCCTTAGGTAGGCGTGGCCAAGTGACGCCACGTTGCCATGGTTACGGGATAACCTCCCACCTTCTGGACCAGGAAGAAGCCCCGAATTAACAGTAAAAAAAAAAGCAGGGTAATCATAATATTAATGCTACTACTGCTAATAATAATGGATACGTAGCAGCTTTGAGTCTCCTTGTTGGAGAGAAAAGCAGGGTATATAAATAAATATAATAATAATAATAATAATAATAATAATAATAATAATAATATAACAATAATAATCGACACATAGCTGCTTTAAGTCTCCTTCTGGAGAGATAAAGCAGAGTATTAATAACAATATTAAATATTATATTATATCATAATAATATGATATAATCGCATGCAGGAAAAATACAATCAAAGCACCCCCGACAGATGCCCTACCAGCCTCAATCGTAATAATAGTAAGAATAATGATTATGATGATGTTGGAAGAGACCCCCCCAGGCCATCTAGTCCAACCCCCTTCTGCCCTGCAGAAAAACCCCCCATCAAAGCACCCCCGACAGATGGCCATCCAGTCCCTGCTTAATAATTATAATAATCATCATCATATTCAGAGACAAATTCCAGAGACTTGGACTTAATGTGCATGTGTGCTGTGTTTTTATGTACATGTAAATTAATAATAATAGAATAATAGATTTTGGAAGAGACCCCAAGGGTCCCAAGCACCATCAAAGCACCTCTGACAGATGGCCATCAAACCTCTGTTTCAAAGCCTCCAAAGAAGGAGCTTCCATTGGACTCCAATGCAGAGAGTTCCACTGTTGAACAACTCTTCTTACAGTCAGGAAGTTCTTCCTAATGTTCAATGGTATCTCCTTTCCTGTCATCAGAACCCATGACTTCATTGTGTTTTCAGGGCAGCAGAAAACAAGCCTGCTCCCTCTTCCTTAGGGCATCCTTTCACATGTATATACATGACTCTCATGTATCCTCTCAATCTACAGGCTGCTCGATCCAAGACTCTCTACCTTTCTTCTGTGCAGCTGAATACTTTGTGTGCACCATTTCCAATGGCATCAGAAGGCCAGAAGGAGGAGAAAGAGAATCCCGCTGAGCTGGTGATTTCTCCTTTCCAATGGGGGACGGTCCTATCTGCAGTTAAAGATCAGATTCCCTCCATGGACTCGGACACATGTGCAGTAAGTCCTGTTCTCTCTTATCTGTTGCTACTATTTTTATGATTAGTCAGAGCCACAAAATAGCTGTGCAGCCTGCAGATGTGCTGGAACCCCGTCATCACAGCTGATTTATGGCCATTTCCATTGTCCCCAAGCAGCATGGCTTTTGGCAGCAGAGTCACTAAAGAGGTGCAAATTAGGCCCCTAAATAATCCAAATTATTTGCTTTGAACTGGATGATATAAGTCTACACTGCCATATAATCCAGTTCAAAGCAGATAATCTGGGTTTTATATGGCAGAGTAGAAGGAGCCAGAATTTTGCCAGACTCATAAAAGGAGTTTTCATCTTATATACAGCCAGAATAATTAGGTTTATATCTAAGGCCCCTTCTACATGGTGATATAAAATCCAGATTGTCTGCTTTGAACTGGATTACATGGCAGTGTAGACTCATATAATGTGGAATATCTGATTTGATGATCTGGATTATATGGCAGTATAGAAGCGGCCTAAGACTGCGTAAGCAATCTCAATTATATAGGTTGCTTTTCCCAACAATTCTTTGTCTCCCATTGATAGTCAGATGGTGATGAAGATGAGGAGCTTTTCATCTTCCAGCGAGATCAAGCCAACCTGATTCCTGACTTGTCGGAGGAACTTGAAGACCTTCCCTTGGAAGAAGCAGACTTGCAGGTCATTGATTCCACCTAGCCATTGGTTTTGGCTTCCACGGTGTCACATCTTCATTGGGTCCATAGAGGAAAAGTTGAAAGATAGGGGGAAGTGGAATAGATACATCCCAAAGGAGTGATACCTCTCCATTTTGCATATTGATCTTTCTGATTTGGGAAGCGTTGAGAGTTAACGTTAACTTTGAATCTGTTTTTGATGGGTTTTAACTTAATTTTTCAGTGCTGTTTGTGTTTAATTCTACTTTAATGTTTGTATATTTTAAATTGTATACTAATGCTTTTATGTCAAACTGCTTTGAGTTCCCTTTGGAGAGATAAAGGGGGGTATAAATAAATATAGTAGTAGTAGTAATAATAATAATAATTTTATTACGATCAACAGATCAGATAAAAACAAACACGCAAACAAAATAATAATAATAATAATACAAAATTCAGCATATATATCTCATTTGCTGACTGTGTTTTGTGTCAGTAAAATAATAATAATAATAATAATAATAATAATAATAATAATAATAATGTGGGTTATAGACTGTATGTGTATGTGTCAAGCATGATCATCAAGCGTTTTGATATGGCCGATAAAATGTACTACTGCTGCTACTGCTACTGCTACTACTACTACTACTACTACTAATAATAATAATAATAATAATAATAATTGCTTAGCCTCTATTTCCACTCCACTTCTGAGTTTGTTCAGGGAATTCCAAGCTGCCCATTCTGGGTTTGCCCCTGGAGAAAGACCCTTGTGGGGGCCATCCAGTTGAGATTTCCTGACCAGAGGGATACTCTTGCTGTTGCAGGAAGAACATTAAGAGGAGTAGTGGTTCTCATGAAGCTTTTCCTTGATTTAGGTCTACTGGGACAAGACTGATAGCCATATAATTGGTTGCTTTCACAGTGTTCAGCTTTATTTCTCTTGCAATTGGCAGCAACTTCCTGTCACACATGGGGGGGGGGGGGCAATGGCAGCTAGCTTGTAGAATCTATCAACAGGTGTAAGTTTAAGACATCCTGTGATTATTCTACATGTTTCATTTACTACTGTATTCACCTGCTTCGTGTGGGCAGGCATATTTAGCAGTTGAGTAGGACAAGGACAAGGCTGATGTTCTTATTAATCTTGGGTCTGCATCCCATGCGCTACCAGTAAGTTTCCGCAGGATGTTATTGCGTGCAGCTACTTTCTGCTTGGTGTTCACACAGTGGTTCCTAAATGTTAGTGTTTGATCTAAGGTGAAGCTGAGATATTTAGGGTGGGAACGGTATTCAGTGCTGGGATTTGCAGTTTATAGATAGCTCTTGGTGGAGGGCTCTCGATCCTCAGCAAACTATGAACTCCAGAATTCCACAGGATGTTGGCACAGTTGCTAATGTGGAATGATAGCACTATAAATATGTACTTGCAATTGGTTTCTCTAATTTTGAAAACTCATGATTAAGACATTTTTGGTGACTCAAAGATTACTGTGATTGTTTTTGTTTTGTTTTGTTTTGTTTTGGTTTTTTTTTTTGCACTTTTAGAAGACTTTTGCATTCATGAGGCATCCAATAGAGATCCAGGATGAAGACCAGGAGAGTCCAGCTTCTCAGAAAGAGGGGAGTACCTCTCGGTCTGTGCCAACGGGCAGCAATTACTTTGGATTTTTTAATGAAGAAAAGCCACGCCAGCAAGTCAGGGATATTTCAGAATTCCCTACAAATAAACCAGAGTCTGGAAAGGATGCTCAGAAAGATATAGATACCCTGAGTCCACCATCTGACCCATTGCCATCTATGGAAACGGCACCTCCCTTTGTGATATTAAACAGCGACATAAAAGAACGAAGGAAACTAATAGAAACAAAAATACTCTCCAAGGCAGCATTGGGATGCTTGACAAAAGATGTAGGTCATTCACAACCAAGAAACAATAACAATAATTTTCTTTCTTACTTGTTTTTATTCTTAATCATTTCCAAAGGGTATGATAGGGAAACGGGGAAGGGCAGGAGTGTTGGTATTAATGTCAGTAATAATAACAACACTTTATTTATATTCCGCTCTATTTCCCCAAAGGGACTCAGAGTGGATTACAACATACACAGATAGGCAAACATTCAATGCCTTTAATACAGTGGAATAAGAATGACATACAAATACACAGAACAAAGGTAAAGGCTTCCCTTTTCATCTCCAGCTTTCTGAAGGCAATGCTCAACTCTGGCCATGGGGAGGTGCTCTTGTTCCATTTCCAAGCTGAGGAGCCTGTTGTCTGTAGACACCTCCTGGTCATGTTGCAGGCATGGTTGCATGGGCACCCTTATTACTTTCCAGCCAAAGACCTATTGATCTACTCACATTTACATATTTTCGGAATACTAGGTTAGCAGAAGCTAGGGCTAACAGCGGGAGTTCATGCCGACCCGCAGTTTTGAATTGCCAACCTTCAGATCAGCAGATTCAACACTTAGGCCCCTTAAGTTAGTAAATCTTAACAAATGTCTAATAAATAATTTAGAGGGAAGAAAGTGATATAGGAGGCAAGGGGAAAACATTTTATAATATTTCATTGTATTACATTCAGTTCTTAGTCTCTATTACCCTACCCATCATTGCTTAAACTACTAAGGTTTTGAAACGTTGATATATCCTCTATATATAACAAGAGTATTATTGTCCTTTTCTTTTAAACCGAATAATCTTATCTTCTTAAACCGCCTTCCTGTCTGTGTTTGATTTTGTTCCATGTTTCTTCTCTTCCCTTTTTTTCTCCTTAAACGTTCTTCCCGACTTTTCCTGTTATATTATTTCTTTCAACTCTTGTTTAATTTTGTTTATTGCTAAACTAACCTTTAAAATTATTAATTTAATCTGTTTATTCGTAAGTTACTATTAAGTGTACAAGATCTACCATATATCACTATCAGGGCCATAGCCAGAAAAAAAAGGGGGGGGGGAGTTCCAGAGTTGAGGGGCCACCACTGAGAAGGCCCTCTCCCTCGTCCTCACAAGCTGCACTTTTGACGGAGGTGGGAGTGAGAGGAGGGCCTTCCCGGAAGATCAAAGAGATTGTGCAGGTTCGTAGAAGGCAATGCAATCACGAAGGTAGGTGGGTCCCAAATTGTTTAGGGCTTTGTAGGTGATAATCTGCACCTTGAACTGGGACCGGAAACTGAATGGTAGCCAATGGAGCTCCATAAACAGAGATGATAGACCGCTCCCTGTAATTCACTCCAGTTAGCAATCTGGCTGCCGATTGTTGGACCAATTGAAGTTTCCGAGCCACCTTCAAGAGCAGCCCCATGTAGAGTGCATTGCAATAGTCCAATCTAGAGGTAACTAAGGTGTGGACCACCGTGGCCAATATGTCTCATGTGAGGGTTTAGTCCATAATGTTTAGATATATATATAAAGCAATGGCCATGTTTTAAATGAGCAAGTTTTAAAATCCCATTCTTACTCTCTTATATACCCAAACTTTGTTTATCTCTTATTAAGGATACCCCAAGTTCACCATCTGATCAGTTGCCATCTATGGAAACGGCACCTCCGTTTATGACATTAAACAGCGACCTAAAAGAACGAAGGAAAGTAACAGAAACAAAAATACTCTCCAAGGCAGCGTCTGGACACCTGACAGGAGATGTAGGCCGTTCACAATCAAGAAATAATAACAATAATTTTGAAAAAATTGCAAAGGCGGAAAGAGAGCTCGGAGTAATTTCAGCTGAACACCCTAGAGAATTGACTCTGTTTGCCTTCGAGGTATGCATGCTCACATTGTTCTCTTTTTCTTCTCCAAAACAGCCTCTCTGTGCTCTCTTTTCTTTGTAGTCAGTGGCTGAGGACAGGCAGATCTTTTGCCATCAGCAGAGACAAAGGTCCAAATATGTAGAATATTAACAGATCTTTTGAGGTTGTTCAGACCGATGAAGGTTGGAGACCAGACATTGATGGAGGAATGGCAGAGTTCTTGTGTTGTCGAAGGCTTTCATGGCTGGAATCACTAGGTTGCTGTGAGTTTTTGGGCTGTATGGCCATATTCTAGAAGCATTCCCTCCTGATGTTTCGCCTGCATCTGTGGCTAATGGCATCTTCAGAGGTCTATTGGAGGTGAGGCAACTGGAGTGTATATATATCTGTGGAATGATGTCCAGGGTGGGAGAAAAAACCCGTGTCTGTTTGAAGCAAGTGTGGATGTTGCAATTAGCCAACTTGATTAGCCTTGAGTAGTCATTAAGCTACAAAGTCAATCAGTGAGGATATTTGCATAGAGATAGTCTGGCTGTTGTTTGCCTGGAAGCATCCTTTGTTTAACTGGCACTTGACTGTTGTCTGGAATTCCCCTGTTTCTGAGTGGTGTTCTTTATTTACTGTCTAGACTCTGGTGTTTTTTTAATACTGCTAACCAGATTTTGTTGATTTTCATGGTTTCCTCCTTTCTGTTGAAATTGCCCACATGCTTCTTGTGGAGTTCAGTGTCCTCTCTGTGTTGTCTGACATTGTGGTTATTGTCAGAGTGGTCCAGCATTTATGGGTTTTCAAATAATATTTCGTGTCCAGGTTGGTTCATCAGGTGCTCTGCTATGGCCAACTTTTCTGGTTGAATTAGTCTGCAGTGCCTTTCATGTTCTTTGATTCGTGTCTGGGCAATACTGCTGCATTTGATGGTCCCTATGTAGACTTGTCCAGAGCTGCATGGTATACGGAAGACTCCTGCAGTGATGAGAGGATCCCTTTTGTCCTTTGATGAATGTAACATTAATTGGATTTTCTTGGTGTGTCTGTAGATTGTTTGTAGACTGTGTTTCTTCATAAGCTTCCCTATGCGGCCAGTGAAACATTTTTCCTCTGGGTGGATCTTTGTCTTTCCTCTCGTGGCTTCTTCTTGGTCTTGCAGCTTTTCTGATGCCTGTCCTAGAATACAGTTTAGATGGTTCAGTTCACCTTGAAGGAGGTGGATTCTCAGATCCTGTTTGCAGACAGATAAAGGTTGGAGTTTAGACATTGATGGAGCAATGGCAGAGCTATTGTTGCTGAGATGGCCATGCTCATCCAGCAGCTGCCTCTTTACCAATGACAGTTTTAAAGCTTTTTGAGGGGCTTTGATCAGCAACGGCAGCAGGAGCAGGTGCTGCTCACCACAGGCAAGAATGGCTCCGACACATTGGCTGCCTTCTTGCCACACAAGCTCCCCCAGATTCCAGATGACAGACAAACCCAGAACCAGAGAACGTGAAATGGTTTTTAAATGAAACACTAGCAAATAAATCTTATTTTCCAAAAACCCAGAGGAAATACAGAGGTGCAAAACTCTATAAGGGGAAGATTCAAGACACACAGAAGGAAGAAATAATAATATTATTTTACCAAGGGACAGACTAGGCAGGACAACCATGCATTGGACAGGAGCGCACAACTTTGGAGGGTCTGAGCACAGTTTCCCGTTATTATTCCTGAACCTCCCTGAGGCAACACCATGGCCCCTTCTACACTGCCATATATAGCAGATTATCAAAGCAGATCATCCATATTATCTGGATTCGGATGGCCCCCACTTTATTTTGTAAAGAATTGGAGAAGTCCCGTTTCATTTTGTAATCCGAATCTCAGAAGCTTCGTAATCATTTCGTTAAGATTTAGTCCATTAGCAGCAATGGGAAAAAATGAGGCTCATTTGTCTTTTATGGCTAACAGGATGAAACTTGTCACACTTGTAGGGCAACATTTACGATTTTAAGCCTGCCAAGTTTCAAAACTTTTTGGTCATCCACTGAATTTTAGGAATCCCTTGAATTTCTGCACAACGGGGCAACATAAGCAGCGCATCAATCCTGCAGTTTCAGAAAGATTTAATTCATCTACTGATTCTTAGGGATTTTTTAAAAGTTGAAAGATGTCTCTGAAGCACACTTTTTTTCCTCTTACATAAAGAAACACAGAAGCTGAGGGGAGGAGACCAGCTTTGCAGAACGCCATGTGATTGGCTGACAAGGAAAAAAAGTAGCATGGAGCTGCATATGTCTTTAATATAATTCCATTCAAACCATACATCATTATTTCATGACACGTTTACATTCCAGAAAGGTCCAGTCCATTGCCAACAATGGGGGAACATGAGAGGCTCCTCTTTCCGTCATTTTTATGGCTATCGGAGCCAAAACAGTCACAAGTGGAGGACACATTTACGACTGCAGCCCCCCAAATTTCAGGACATTTGGATCATCCACTGATTTTTTAGGAAATTCTTGAAGTTTCTACAAATAAATTGTCTTAAAAAAAAAACAACCCAGAAGTATTTCCTGTTAGTCAGCTCACCAAACAAGGGGAAAAAGAGGATGGGGTGATATATTCCACATATGAGGCGGGCATTTCACAGGGTTTTTGATAACATCAAAACACAGTCTCTTTTTTTTTTTTTAAATGCGGCGTACTTACTATTTGCCTCTGAGCTAAAAAGGCTCCCAGGACCTTTTAAAATCATTAATTTGACAGTTCCCTGCCTTCAGGCTTATAATCTAAATAAGACACAGAACAAATGATGGGGAGGAGCGGGTTAGGCTTGGTAGATACAGTGGGCCTTAAGAGCGTCCCAACTTAGGAGCATTTTGCAATAAGAGCCATTGCTCGGTCCAGGTTTTGCTTTGACATAAGAACAGCTTTTAAAGTTAAGAGGGAGCACCAGTGCAAGAGTGCAGGGCTTTAGGGCTTCAAGGGAGCCGCCTCTGACCTTGTGCCTCATGATCTTTTTCACTTTGGGAGAGAGATTGCTGTCCGCTTTGCTCTGGTCCACTTTGAGGAACTTTGGGTTAGTTGGTTTTGTGTGGTTTTTATTCCTGGTATATTTGGCTTCTTGAAGAGAGAGAGGGAAGGAGACAGGAAGGAGACGAAAAGGAGGACAGGATGATGAAGAAAGGAGGCACCTGCCTCTCCCTCACTTGATGCTTTGGGCTTCCTTGACACAACTTTGTGCTTCTACCATTTAAAAGCAGATCTTTCTGTTTTTATTATTCCATGTAAATGTGCATTTGTACATTATTGGTTATTCGTAAAGCACATTTTCACACACACACACGCATGCACGCACACACACACAGAGGGTGGTTTTGGGGGCCCAAATGGAATAATAGCATTTCAATGCATTTCAATGGAGAAATTTGCTTTGAGATAAGACTTTTGAGTTAGGAGCTCAGTCACAGAGCAAATCAAACCCTTAACTCAAGGTATCACTGTCCATTTCCCTCTCCTTCTCCCTCTGAGGCCACAGCAGTAGTAGCTGAAATAGAGCTTAATCTGCTGCTGCGTCTAATAATAATAATAATAATAATAATAATAATAATAATAATAATAAATAATAAAAAGTTTATTTATATCCTGACCTCTCTTCTCAGGGGACTTAGGATGGCTTACAACATAAATAGTACAATAAAGTGCAATACAGTAAAATATATAAAATGGAATATACAATTAATAACACATCCAGATGATACAAAACACAAGCCATGGTGGAGCTGTGTCTGCCTCTTCGGCCCCTTTTACGCTGCCATATCATACAGATTTATCAAAGCAAATAATCTACATTTGCTTTGAACTGGATTATATGAGCCTGCACTGCCATATAATCCAGCTCAAAGCAGATAATCTGGATTTTATATGGCCGTGTCAAAGGTCCCTGTTGCCCGATGGAAGAACAGAGGGGGCAATTCCACTCTTGGAAATTTAGCAAAAGTTCCCGGATTAGTGCATTTGCGGCTGGAGTGCAATTTGAATTTGCAAGTCTCTTTCAGACCTTGCAAACTTAGTCTCTGAAGTCTTTCTGTGATTTCCAGAGAATGTTTGGCAGCAGGAGCCAACTGTGTTTCACCACACACAGCCATAGCAGTTGCATAATTTAAGCATATTTGTTCTACCCTTTGGAGAATGTAGTCTCATGGTGCTGAATGCAGTTTCTATTGTCCTGCCTTCTTCATCTCTTGTACTACTTTCTTGCAGGGTGCAGTAGGGGAGATACCGTTTGCTTGCTCCAGTAGATTGTTGCAGTCTTTGCCAAGCCACAATGATCTCTCATCTAATGTTACAAATTAAATGGGAATATCTGATGGGTGTCACAAGCATAACTTGGCCATGCGAAAGCCAGCGCTCATCAGAGTTTTCTCGGCTCCTTTGAGGTTTTATCAGCCAGGAAGCAGTGCAGAGAGCCCCCCCCCCCTTGAGATGGTGCAACAAACAAAGGAGATTATCACAATGGAAACTGCATTAGCTTTCAAGTGCTGACAGTTTTGGATTGGAATGAAAAGACTGAATTCATACGTTTGTTGTAATTCCGATGCTGTGTAGCTGTAATTGGTAGTTCGCGTCTTCTTAAGAATTATAAAACCTTTTCTTGAGTGCCCTGAAACTGTCAGTTTGAGACACAGATCCAGGCTGTAATATGAAAAACATAAAAACATGATTAGAACAGTTCACATTATGAGAACTGTCAAATCAAGGGGGTTTTGTTGTTGTTGTTGGGAGGATAACCTTCCTGGACCTCCGTTGTGGAGATGACAAGATAATTCCCCCCACCATGGGGTGTCTGTCTGTTTGTTAAAAACATTAAAGAGATGTCTGATTAAGAGATGTGGTTCTCAAGACATTTAGTGGAGAACATGGGTGAAGTTAATCATAAAATTATAGCTTGAGAACAGAGCCATGATAAATTATGATAAATCATAATTCTTAACAGTTGCTCTGCCAATCTTTCCATCATATAAATGAGCGCATAGAGAAAATGGGGAACAAAGGCAAATGGATTGAAGCAATGGATTGTTGTATGTTTTTTGGGCTATATGGCCATGTTCTAGAAGCATTCTCTCCTGACGTTTCACCTGCAAAAAGGCAACAAAGGCAAACGGAATGAAGCAGTAGTTTTTCTGGACAGCAGTAACCTGGTGAAGTATGGGAAGTTCTACCCAGGAATTAAATCAGAGTTAGGAAGTGGATTAAAAGAAGCCGGTTTTGCTGTGGAGCACCTACACAATCACCCCAGGAACCGTTTCAAGGCTGGGACGGTGGCCACAGTATCTGCCGAATGCAGATGGAAACAAACCCAGTCTGACAAGATGCATTGATGTGCATATTCATGTCCATTTGGGATCAGCACTAGTGAGAACAGAGGGACAAACAGTGAGAATTCCCATGGGAAGGATGGAATTTCCTTTCTTGGGAGTCATTGTATACCTCCCAGCCAACTCTGTTTGGTTTTTTTCCCCTAAGGTGCTTCATAACTCATGGTGTCCTAACAAGCGCTCCACATTTTTTGTTCTCGGATTCGAGCCTTGCATAGGACTTCCTTTGATCAGGTGCAGCAGATTTTTTTACTCATTCCAGACTTTCTGGTGAGTTTTCTTTAACATGTTTGTGGCTTAATGTGCACTGCAGCATGCCTAAGGGGTGTTAGTTTTGTGGACATGCTCCGCCCTTGAGCTGGCTTCAAACTGGACTATAGTGCCTGTGTAGAACCACTCTATAATACAGAAGAATGTTACACATTGTTTAACAGACCAATGCCTTTGCCAACACATAGATGCTTTATAATCCCCTCTCAGCCAAAAAAAGAAAAAAGAAAAAAAGAGGAAACTAACAGACTTTGGGTGAAATCACATATTACATTGAGCTTATCCTGAGTAGCACCCCTGATCAGGTAGGGAATGAAATGAAGCAGGAGTGACTGGTTAGCTGGGGAAAAGGCGAGGAAATGTGGTATGTTAGGGCCATCAAAATGGAGATGGGGGAGGGTAAGTCTGAGTTCTGGTGTGTTTTCTTGGTTAAAGGAAGTTCTTAGTTTAAACCAGAAACTGGGATTTCCCATTACATGTTAATGTTGCTAAGCTCTAATAAGAATTGACTGCTTCATCAATATGCCTCTGGACAAATACTAGTTGCAAGGAAGGTACTGTTGTGTTTGTATCCCAGAGATTACAGGTTGTTGGTTTCTTAGAAGCTTCTCATTGATCACTGCAGGAAACGGGATCCAATATGGACATTCTTGGGTTCATAACGTTTTACTATTGCGCCAATCACTGTTGTGATTGATGAATCACAAGCTGTTTTTGTTTCAGGAGATAGAGAAATGGGACCTAGACAAAGTTCTGCAGGACCTAGAGAAGCAAAGTGATAAAACAAGTTGGAAAGGAGAACCTGCTTTTCCTTCAGTGTACTGTGGTAAGTTAGGAAGCATAATGTGCATTTTCTGGATCCTGAAACAATGCAGAGGAATTACGAGGACACAGGCTGCATTTCAGAACACAGAAAGATGGAAAGCTATCAAATGAGCCATTAGTGTGGAGCTGGAGTTTTACAAGGACTTTTAGCTTTCTCTGTTTGTGCTTCATCAAATGACAAATCCCCTGATTCTACAGCATTGGATCATGGCAGTTAAAGAGGTGTGGCGCTGTATTAATTCTACAGTGTAGATGCCCCCAATCTGAACATTGACGGGGATAGGTGGGTAAATGCAAAAACATTGCTTGTGACTTGACGCGTGTGTTGGCAAACACCATTAGGAGATGTAATTCAACACATGTGAAGAAGACCAGTTGTAGTTACCTTACAGCAAACGTATCAAACCTGTGGCTCTCCAGATGTTTGGCCTCCATTGTCGTGAGATGGGTTCAGTTTGTGAAACGATATATAGATTATAGTTTCCAAATCATGACCTCACTGAACCACTGTGCTCTGGATAGTGTCCCAGAAGCAAGCAAAATATAGCAGAGTCACTTCACAGCGAAAACATGCTTCAGCCCATCTTTCAGCAGAATCCAACTGTAAGCAAGGATCTGACCTTATCTACACACTGTTTAGTAAACTTACAGATTCAGGTTTTCACCTAAAGTATCTGGAGGTTTTAATCTTCACTGTTACAATATATACAAATGTACAAACAGGATTTGCAGAGCTCTCTTTGAGACATGTCCTTACAAACAGTAAGATTCTTAGAGTCACATACAGAATAGAGATACATGGATTCTTTCAACCTCCTTATATAGCCACCTATCAATATTCCACATGTTCATCAAACAGTATATTTATATTATTAGAAATGCTGTGCCATTTCTGTCTAACATCCATCTCTCCGAAGCCCCTATTGCTAGCTTGTCCAGTGGCCAGGAATTCTGGGAGCCCAAGTCCAAAACACCTGGAGGACCATGCATTTAACACCACTTCCCTACTTCTGTTGGTTCTGTTATAACTGGAGAAATGTCTTTCATCAGCCAGACTTAAGTGGTTATCTTCTCTCTCTCATCTTACCAGATAACACCAGGGCTGCATCAGAAGCCAAGCTCATGGGAAAGCTAGAAGAGTTGTCCCTTGAGCAATCGAGAACGTTTTTTGCACACCGCAGAAAATGCCTGGCCAAACTCCCACACTTTAGTGAGTGCCAGGGGGACGGGAGGTAGGTCAATCAGAGTTGGCTTTTACGTGCATCAGATATTGATGTTTCCAATTGCCTAAGATACATTGATACCCTAGAGCAGGCATGGGCAAACTTGGGTCCTCCAGTGTTTTGGACTTCAACTCCCACAATTCCTAACAGCTGGTAGTCTGTTAGGAATTATGGGAGTTGAAGTCCAAAACACCTGTAAGGACCAAGTTTGCCCATGCCTGCCCTAGAATCAGTGCTTTCCCACTTAGTGTAGTGATTAGATGTGTTAGATTTCAGTCCTGTTCAAGCTTCCTAGATCTTCCTAAGCTATTCCCTGTGTCGGCTCATCCTAATAAAACAGGAGGAGAGGAAACCATGTCGATTGCATTGAAGCCCTTGTAGGAAAGATGGGGTGTAAATAGGAAGAGTTTAAACAATAACCATGACCCAGTGGGAATGTACACCTCATCCGTTGTCTTTGAAACAATCCAATTTCTTTATTCAACTCATGAGATATTAAATAGTAGAGGTGTGCAAAGCGGCTGAAATCCAATTAGTAATTCGTTTCAGAGATTCGGATGGCCCCCGCTTTATTTTGTAAAGAATTGGAGGGGTCCCGTTTCATTTCGTAGTCCGAATCTCAGAAGCTTCGTAATCATTTTGTTAAGATTTAGTCCATTAGCAGCAATTGGGAAAATTGAGGCTCATTTGTCTTTTATGGCTAACAGGATGAAACTTGTCACACTTGTAGGGCAACATTTACAATTTTAAGCCTGCCAAGTTTCAAAACTTTTTGGTCATCCACTGAATTTTAGGAATCCCTTGAATTTCTGCACAATGGGGCAACATAAGCAGGGCATCAATCCTGCAGTTTCAGAAAGATTTAGTTCGTCTACTGATTTTTAGGGATTTTTAAAAAAGTTTAAATATGTGTCTGAAGCACACTTTCTTTTCTCTTACATAAAGAAACACAGAAGCTGAGGGAAGGAGACCAGCTTTGCAGAACGCCATGTGATTGGCTGACAAGGAAAAAAGTAGCATGGAGCTGCCATTGTCAATCACATCAGCCCCCTTCCACCTCAAACAATTACACAGTATGTTACATTGACAAAAACACAGCATGAAATGCTAAAAAAAACCCCAAATCTTTACTAATCTCTCTGAAACGTTTCAGAGGCTTCCGTTACAAATTCCCAAATTATGAAATGGACCTCCAAAGCTTTGCACAGCTCTATTAAATAGACAATATGTAAGATGCTGAAGGAGCTATTGAGCAAAGGCCTGCAGCAGCCAATCTCCACTGTGTCACCAGGATTTGGTCCTTGGGCTATGCACACTCCTCTACCCAATTCTGTGCTTTCAAGAAAAGAAAAGAAAAGGAAGACCCTTTGGAAGTCCTTGTTTTGTAAAAACACTAAAAACCTTTTAGAAATATTGCAACTGTCAGTGGTTATTAATTGTTGGGAGGAATGCCAGCTAAGGTTTGAAGGTGGTTTAAATTAGCATTGAAGACATGGCTGTTATGGACAAAACATTACCAGAGAGATTTTCTTTACAAGTGTACCAGGGAAATGGTTGGAAAAGCAGGCCAAATAATAATGAAATGTACAAAGATGGCTCATGTGCTGATACTGTAATTTATATTCTCAGAAATGTTCCCATCCTGGCACCGCTGACAAACAGTCAAGGCCTGAGTTCAATGGAACTGGAATGGGCTCCAGAGCCACCCACTGTGTATATCGATTTACGGGACACAGTTTCACCAAAGCCTGAAGTGTTAACTGATGCAGAGGAAAGGTAATTATCCACACATGATATGGGGGATATTGAAGGGACAAGAAGGAAACTAAAAAAGCCATAAAACCTTCATACTCGCTGTGAACATCTGAAAATTGAAATGGAGGAGCAGCTGAACATTTTGTTCATGTTTTATTCCCAATCTTGATTACCAACAAACTGAAATCGGAGGCTTCCAGTTATTGGTGGTACACATGAACTGGGACTGCCATTATTAAAAATAAGATGATGCAAATGGCTCCGTGAAGATGGTCCTAAAGCCAGTGTTTAGAGCTGCCAGTTGAAAGAGATAAAAACAAATAGCAGGAATGATGTCTAGGGTCTTTCCCTTGACAGCCCCTGCGCTTGGAATCTATCTGAGCCCAGAACTTGGAAATGTATATCTTTTGGACACTATTACTACTATATACATATCTATATCTATATCTCTACACACACTTTATTTATATTCTGCTCTATCTCCCTGAGAGGACTCAGAATGGATTACATTCAATGCCGTTATACAATTAACAACAAAGACAGACATTACACAGACAGAGGCAAGGCTTCCCTCTTTTTTCATCTCCAGCATCTGAAGGCTGTGCTCGGCTCGGTCACAGAGAGGTGCTGTTGTTCCATTTTTCTATGCTGAAAAGTCTGTTGTCCATGACGCCTTCCTGATCGAATTGTCAGCATGTGTTCAGGGACACCTTTTACCTCCCTGCCGAAGCAGTACCTATTTATCTACTCACATTGCTGTTTTTTAACTGCTAGGTAAGCAAAAGCTAGGGCTGACAGTGGGAGCTCACTCCGACCCGTGGCTTGAACTGCTGACCTTTCAGTTGACAGGATTTTCTGTGACTGGTGGTTTAACCCAGTGTGCTAACCACAGCCCCATTTTTTCCTTCCATAAGGAGACTCAAAGCAACTAACATTAAAAGCATTCCAGTTTAAAATATACAAATATTAAAACAAACATTTTTAGTATTTTAAAAATTAAGATTTAATCCATAAAAACATAATACAGAATCTCCCAACCTACTGGTAAGTCTAGGGGAGTTGCAATCCTCAGAAATGACGTTAATATTTTCAGGCTGTGGATCAATAGCGTTTCTTGCTTTAATTCAGCAAGTTTTAGCTACTTTATCTATTGAATCATATTAATTGGAAGAATCGAGGTAGGCTGGTGTTTGTCCACACATTTCAGTCCTAAAGCAAAAATATAACCTCAGCCTACTGCCAAGAGCTGAATTAACTACTTGCAACTTTTATATCTTGCCTTTCTTTGAAAGTGAGGATAGAGATGGGTCAGACTGAGCGAGAAAAAAGCTGAGCAGATTTCATTTTTGTTTGTTTTTGCTTTTAAACCCTTCACTTTTGAAGTAAGAACAAAATATTTCTGAATACCTGGGTAAAGGATGGGAAACAGCCCACAAAATTGCACGACAGGAAAAATATTATTCGTCTCTTCAAAAACAAAGCAGGACATGTAGCAGCAAAAGCCTTTCTTTCGGACATACCTGGAAGCGCCATGAGAGGTCTTCCTATAGACACCCCATGTTGTCAAATTAACTAAAGCCCATAGCTTTAGTGAATATGACACTAACAAATTAAAACAGAGCCATATCATGCGCATTACGTAACTGAGTCTGATCTTAAATTTGCAATCAGTCTCCTCTTTACCTGAAATATATAGGCTGCAAAATGAGATACTTGCAAGAGTAAGTCAGCAGCGATTCTGCCACCTTTTATACAGCCGAGCCATTCTGACAAGGAAACTCAAGGGAGCTGATTATTTGTTTTCTTCTTGTGGTTGAAGGATTCCCAGCATCAGAGCAGCAAAGGGAGCTAAAACGGGCAGAAGGATGATATTAATCAGGAATTAAAAGGAGAAGTAACGTAATTATGTTAACTCCATCAGAAACAATAAGGATCAAGAAATCCCTTGCATGCTTGCATAGAATTCTTCAGGGAGAGAAATACTGTAAGGCAGATCTAATTGTCTAAAGTCTTCTTTCTGAGTGAAGCAACAAGATATTCCACTGGGGAACTTGTGATATCAAATTGTATGCCCTGTTGGGCAGTAACATGTTTGGATCATGCATAATCAATACCAGAGGTGCTTGCAGTTCAAATGAAACTTTAAATGAGGGGTGGAGAAAGTGTAGCATGTGGGTTGCATGTAACACTAAGGTGATTTTGAGACCCCAAAAACTGCCATATAAGCCATATAATCCAGATTATCAATAATAATAATAATAATAATAATAATAATAATAATAATAAAACTTTATTTATATTCAACTCTGTCTCCCTAAGGGGATTCAGGGTGGATTACAGAATACATATACAGCAAACATTCAATGCTGTTATACAATTAACAAGGACAGACAATACATAAACAGAGGTAAAGGCTTCTTCCCATCTTTTCCATTTTTGGCATCTGGAGGCTGTGCTCAACTACAGCCATGGGGGGGGGGGGGGGGGGGGAGTGTTGCTCCATCTTCCATGCCAAGGAGCTTTATCATCCTTAGACGTCCTTCCAATCAAATCTCTGGCATGTTCTTTATGAGCCTTCCCCGCTTAAAGTGGTACCTATTTATCTACTCACATTTCTGTTTTCGATCTGCTAGGTAGGCAGGGAGCTGGGGCTGATGGCAAGTGCTCACCCTGACCTGGGTTTGAAGTTCCAATCTTTCAATTGGCAGGCTTTTCTGCCGCTCAGCAGTTCAGCCTGCTGTGCTTAGCCCAGCTATGAGCCACGCCCACCAATGGAATTGCACCACTGGGAACTTCTCTGGTATTGAAGTTCCCCATCTTCATCTAGACTAGAGAGCAATGAGATTTCTTGTTTGTTTTGCAGCTTCAGCAGCAGTTCTACAGATGATGATGAGGAGGAGGACATAGATTTGGCAGGCCAAGAGAAAGTGGAAGGCAAAGAGTGTCTCCAGCCATCACGGTACAAAGAAATGATGCTTCACATATTCTGGAAGTGTTACTATGACAAGAAATGCGTATTTTTTCCACATACAGACATGACAGCAATCTCAAGGAAGACTTTTATTTTATTTCTTGTCAAAAGCATTACATAAGTAAATAAGTATAAAACTGACAAAATAAAGGGAGCACAAGCAGCTAAATAATTTTAGACTGAAAACGGGCAACAGCGACTGCATTGTCTGTAGCTTTAATCAGTTCATCCTCTGTGCATGAGGCAGGGCCTCATGGGGGGCTGGGGGGGGGGGGGGGGGGGGGGGGGGACGGGACATCCAGTTGGAATTTCCAGATTTTGCTGCCCAGAGGGATACTCTTGCTGTTACTGGGGGAACATTAAGAGGCGTGGTGGTTCTCATGAAGCTTTTCCTTGATTTGAGTCTACTGGGAGGAGGCTGATAGCCATGCAGTGGGTGGCTTTCACAGTGTTCAACCTTATTTCTCTCCCAGTTGGCAGCAACTTCATGTCATACATTGGGGGGTGTAGGTTTGAGACATCCTGTGATTATTTTACATGTCTCATTCAGTTCTATATTCACCTGCTTCACGTGGGCAGATTTATGCCAGACGGGGCAGACATACTCAGCAGTTGAATCAGACAAGGCCAGGGCTGATGTTCTTAACAATTTTGGGTCCTCACCCCATGCACTATTAGTAAGCACGGGGGCGAGGGGCTGGGCGGCGGGAAGGCAGGCAGGGAGGAACGGGGGCCCATGGGGGGGGGTGGCTCACAGGAGCAGCCTCCTGGAAACTGTTCCCCCCCCCCGGAGAAAAGGAGGCAAAGTGGGCCCCAGGCCCGAGACCCAACCGTTAGATCCGGTGCTCCTCTGCTGCTTCTGCCGCTGCTGCTCGCTCCTTGCTCCTCGCTCGATCAGCTGCTGCCGGCCCAGGGACTGCTGGTGGGCACAAGGGCAGCCTTAAGTAGGGTGCCCACGAGGGAGGAGAGGCCAGCTGTGGGCTCTCCTGCCAGGAGGCGTGGCCGGCAGCTGATAGGGCCACCTACTAAACAGCGGGAACTTTCCCGCTGGGAGAGGGGGCTTCTGGGGAGAAGAAGCCCCCCTCAGGCCAAATGGCGGGGGGGAACACCCCACACCGCAACCTCCACGGCCTGGTAAGTCAGGCCATGCCATGGAATGTTATTGCATGCAGCTACTTTGTGCTTGGTGTTCACACAGTGTTTTCTAAATGTTAGCGTTCAATCTAAGGTGTTGCCAAGATATTTAGGGTGGGAACAGTGTTCAAGCTTTTGACCTTCCCAGGTAATCTTCAGTTTTCTGTTGGAAAGCACACACTTGTGTTTTGGCAGGGTTAGGCTTCAGGTGATTATCTTTACAGTAACTGGAGAGATCTTTCAGGGCATTCGGAAGTTGGTTTTCGACTGTTTCAAAGTCTTTTGCTCGTGTTGTTAGGCCAAGGTCATCAGCATATATAAAGCTCTTTGTGAGTGGTGGTTGTGGCTGATCATTAGTAATGATGTTAAACAAGGTCGGTGCAAGAATGTCACCTTGATGTAGACCATTCTTTTGCCTCCTCCATCTACTTTTCCTGCCCTGAAACTCCACATAGAAGCTGTGGTTTTCTAGGAGGGTCTGGATAGTTTTTGTAAAATCATAGTCTTGGATGATAGGGTAGACTTTATGCAGCAATTTCCTATGTTGCATTGTGTCATAGGCTGCCATAAGGTCCACATACAGACATGACATCAATCTCAGGGAAAACTAACAGATGCAGAAATCTATGAGTATCACTACATTGGCGGTCTACTGATTTTTTTTTAATGAAAACCGATAGTCTTTCCACAAATTACCTGGCTACAAACCTACATTTGTCACTAACCAAACAGCCAGAGTATGGTAGACAGCTCAAGCTGTTTGGTGAATGTTTCCAAACATGTTTGTCTTGTCTACACATTGTGTTCATAACATCATAATGCGTCATGCGGTTCTTAGATTCTTAGGAAGCTTAGCTTTGCATCCAAAACCATATTTTATACTTTTTCCACATTTGCATGAGATTATAACAGGCAGATATCCATATAGTTTCACAGCCACAGTGAAAAACCATTATGGTTGGACAATAATATTAAAGAGGAAATGGAAAGAAAAAAATGTAAGCCGCTTTGAGTCTCCTGGTGGAGAGAAAAAGTGGGATATAAAAAAATAAAATTATTAATAATAAGTGACTGCTTATTATTAATAAATTGTTATTTCTTTTAGCAATGATTGATGTCTATTGGCATAAATCATCTGATGTTTATTGGTGTGTTGTTCTTAATCTCATTGGATAAGTGTGATCGTTCTATATCCCCAAAGATGGTTCTGTGACTTTTTAAAGAAGTGGCAGAATAAGTTCTCTCCCCCCCCCCCCCCCCTCTTTCATTTAGCAAGAACTGCACTGGAAAAAGCTTTTTGCTGCAACAACTTCGTAACTTTCGCAGAACTGTGTCTCATTCTTCGCCGGACCAAGGAAAAAGCTCAGACCTCGTGAGTTCAGGAGGAGCAGGTCAGCCGAATGTTCGAGGAAGGTGCCACCTCAAACGAAGGGGCCTGGGTTCAATGGGCCCAGCTGATCCAAAGGCAGATGTACTTGGAGACATGAAAAGTGTTCCTGAGCCCTCAAGAGAACTTGAAGAAGAAACCAAGGAAAGGTTGTATTCGAAATTGAGTCAGGATCCTTCTGCAAGCATCACTGCAGAATATCCAAGGTACAGTGGAACCTTGACTTAAGAGCATTCCAACTTAAGAGCATTCTGAGTTAAGAACCATAAATAATAATAATAATAATAATAATAATAATAATAATAATAATAATATTTTATTTATAACCTACCCTATTTCCCTGAGGGGACTCAGGGCAGTTTCCAGCAAAATAACACAATGGCAAATGTTCAGTGCCAAAAACAACAAATAACATATCAGAATAGTGGGTAAAACCATCTCAATAACAATGATAAAAATAACAAATTTAAATAAACGTAACATAACACATCACAAACATTTACAACATGATAACACTTGGCCTGGGTTTCGCTTTGACATACAAGTAACATTTTGAGTTATGAGTGAGCTGCAGAGGGCCTGCGAGTGCAAGTGTTACAGGGCTTTAGGGCTTCAAGGGAGCAGCTTCCGGGCCTCCTGCCTCCTGCTCTTGTCCGTGATGGGAGAGAGATTGCTGTCTGTTTTGCTCTTCTCAACTTTGAGGAACTTTGGATTAGTTGATTTTGTGTGGTTTGTTTTTATTCCTGGTCTGTTTGACCAGGAATAAAGAGAGAGGGAGAGCAATAGAGGGAGGGAAAGATGCTGGTATGAGGACAGGAGGAAGAAGAAAAGGAGGCTTCTGCCTCTTCAATTGGTGCTTTGGGATTCCTTCCTTGCCACAACTTTGGCTTTTACCATTTTTTGCCATTTTTTGCCATTTGGGCTGGTTTTGCCTTGATGTTACATTGACCAACACACATTTTGTTACCTCAAATGTGCTTCCTTGCCACAACTTTTTCTTCTGCCATTTTAAAGTTGATCTTTCTTTGTTTGTTGTACCATGTGAATGTGCATTTATACAATATTTGTTATTTGTAAAACACATTTTCTTATTTAAAAACATGTAACAAAAAACTATATGGGGGGAGGTTCAAGGGGCTGAGCAGATTAATAGCATTTCAATGAGGAAATTTGCTTTAAGTTAAGAGCATTTTGAGTTAAGAGCTCAATCATGAAACAATTTAAACTCTTAAGTCAAGGTACTTTATGCAGTAGTTCACAAGCTACAACTTTGCGAATGATCATCAACCAGAGCGAAGGTTCCCCAAAGCATTTCATGGTCTATTAGAGATTGAATCTGGGCTTCCTTTTGTTGAAACTTGTTACCGTTAACTTGGGATTGAGGAACCTGATACTAAGGTATAAATATAAGAATAAAAATAACAAGCAATGCCATGTGCTCAAGGGAGACAGGGAGCAAAACACTCCCCCTCTCCTTCCTTTCCATTTCTAGTCACATTGGTTCCACTCCCTCCCATTTCCAGCTTGCATAGACACTAGACACTAGGAGTTGTCATTATTTGGAAAAGAGCCCTTTAATTTAGGTCTCCCTTTCCATCTCCGGCGTCTGGAGGCGATGTACAATTTTGGCCATGGGGAGGCGCTCTTGTTTCATTTTCCATGCTGAGGAGCCAGTTGTCTGTAGACCCCTCCTGGTTGTGTTGCTGGTGTGGCTTCATGGGTGCCTTTTACCTTCCCACCGAGATGGTACCTATTGACCTACTCACATTTCTTGTTTTTGAACTGATAGGTTGGCAGAAGCTAGGGATAACCGCAGGAGCTCACCCCGACCTGCAGCTTCAAACTGTCAACCTTTCAGTCAGCAAGTTTTTCTGAAGCTGGCAGTTTAACCCACTGTGCTATTATTATTATTATTATTATTATTATTATTGACACAAAATCACAGTATGTCACAGCAAACGAGATCTATATGCTGGATTTCACTAAAAACACAAGTCGAACACTTCCCAAGCGTCTAGGATTGTGTGATGTATTTTCGAATGATGCGCACAGATCCAAGTAAGGTGGCCTTTGCAGTTGACAGATCATGATTTTGTCAATGTTTATTGTTACCAAATGCTGGGTGAGATCTTTTGGCACGGCACCCAGTGCGCCAATGACCACTGGGACCACCTGTACTGGGTTATGTCAGAGCCTTTGCAGTTCGATTTTGAGGTCTTGATAGCAGCTGAGTTTTTCCTGTTGTTTTTCCTCAATTCGTCTGTTACCTGGTATGGCGACATCAATAATCCAGACTCCCCCCCCCCCCCCCCCCCCCCCCCCAATTATGATGTCTGGTGTGCTGTGTTCCAAAACGTTGTCAGTCTGGATTCGGAAGTCCCACAGTATTTTTGCATGTTCATTTTCCACAACCTTTGCAGGTTTATGATCCTACCAATTCTTTGCTGCTGGCAGGTGGTACTTGTGACATAAGTTCCAGTGAATCATTTAGGCAAGAGTTGTGTCTTTGTTTGTAGTCCGTCTGTGTGATTTTCTTGCAACAGCTGAGGATATGGTCCATATTAATAATAATAGCAATTATTATTATTATTATACTCTGTTATTATTATATACTATTATTACTAATAATAGTGATAATAGTTATTAAATTTATAGCATCATGGAGTTGGAAGGGCCATCTAGTCCAACCCCTTATAAAATCCAGTGTTGTTATATATTTTTGTATATAATTCACTGACAAAATACATCAGGAATTTATTTGATCACTAGTGCAATCAAGCTTTTTCATGAGTGGCAGGCTCAGCATGCAACTTCAATGCAACTAAAAACCAAACCAAACCAGAAATATTTCCTTATGCTTACGTTTTGTAGGGCAGAAGAAAAACAGAAAGAAGAGCAGAAGAAAGAAAGAAAAGTCCAGTAAAGGGAGGCCTCAGGGGATTTTTGAGAAATTAAAGCTTGGCATGACAGCATCGGGAAGGAGCCCATGGCAGACAATTGCCCTTGTTCTGCATTGTTAGTTGCACCAAATTGCTGAAGAACAACATCTTCCTTGGGATTTCATCCTTTGCAGAAGGACTTCATTCTGACCTTGTTGGTCCTGTGGCTGGTTTTGTTTTTTTAAGCCAAAGCTTTAAGCATGCAAATTGTAGTCAAGGAGAAATTCCTTTTTTTGGATGGTAAAGCATTTACATTTTCGTTTGCATCTATAGCAGTATCCAGTTACTCATTCGTTTAATGGGGATATCATCCCTCCTTTTGACCAGTACTTGATCTCCAAACATGCCTTACAGTGCTGTTTAAAATATAGCCATAAAAATAATCCAACGACCAAAATAATACAGGAAGCAAATGAAATAATACGGCATAGCAGAGCAGCAAATGCCTGCTGCTTTTCGTTTGTCTTTGATGCAGGTGGATATTATCCACAATCCACCACCAAACCCACCACCAGAAAGGCCCCGTCCATAGATTTGTTAAACAACCTGTTTCCAAAGGACTTGGGCAACTTGTAAAATGAAAAACATTTTCAATTCCCACAAAGCACAACCTGTCTAGCTTGGCTGAGGAATGGAGACAACCATCTCAGCAGGAACTACTTTAGAATCTGAAATCTTTCTCTCTCTCTCTGCCTGCCTGCCTGCCTGCCTGCCTGCCTGCCTGCCTGCCTGCCTGCCTGCCTGCCTGCCTACCTTCCTTCCTTCCTTCCTTCCTTCCTTCCTTCCTTCCTTCCTTCCTTCCTTCCTTCCTTCCTTCCTTCCTTCCTTCCTCCCTTCCTCCCTTCCTCCCTTCCTCCCTTCCTCCCTTCCTCCCTTCCTCCTCCCCAGTGCCTCTTATCCTCTTATTCATAGGCTTTTATGTCTTCCACACAATTCTCTAAGAAACTGTGTTGTACTGCAATAGGCTGGTAACAATAAATTTCCCTTCGTCGTTTTATTCTTTTTGTGTAGCGGCACATTATTTATGGCCCTCTGCCCTCGAAAATCCATCAACTATATTATTAATGTGTCTGTTTTCTGCATCTTTGGTGTTAACACCCATTGTTATCTTTAGACTACACAATGGCATCCCAATATGCAGACAGGTGAGTAATGCAAGATAATTGCCTTTTGGTTTGCACACTGGTAGGGACAATGCAGATTAATACCCAAAACAGACCAGTTTCCTCCCTTGGCTTCCATAAAGGCTCTCATGGCTAAATAATCGTCCCCAATGCAACAAGTTATATGCAAATAAAAAAATCTATAATTCCAGGCAAAAGGCAAACTATCTGACGGCAGTTTTCTGTGTTGTTATTATTTTTCATTTGTGCATTGCATATTTCTTTTTTCATCAATCAAGCAATTGTATTTAATGCTTAGACCATAGGTCTTTCACACACAGAACAAACAAGTAAGTACATATAAACCCAGTTATGAAATTATAAAATACCTAACAATGCAACATTAAAAATACCACAGAAACTAGCTCTTGTGTCGTTAGAAGCCAAAAATTCAATATTATTGAAGACTTAAACAAGATAACTTTACTATTATTATTATTATTATTATTATTATTATTATTATCATCATTATATTTATTTATACCTTTCTTTATCTCTCCTGAAGAAGCGGCTTACACTAAAAGCATTATTACACAATTTAAAATATACAAATATGCAAAACTTGAACAAAATTAAACATAACAGTATTTAAAAATACTGTCACAGTTATAAACAACCAGGTAAAAGTATCCCCAACAGAGTCAACTGCTTGTTTGCCACTTCAAGTGAGAACTAAGGCCCCTTCCACACTGCCATATAAAATCCAGATTATCTGCTTTGAACTTTGATTATATGGCAGTGCAGACTCAGATAATCCAGTTCAAAGCATGTGCAGGTACAGCTGTACCAGGAGCTCCAACTTTGTTTGCTTTGCATTGAATGTTTGTTGTAGTCCTAAGTTTCAGGGACTCTGCAAATAGGTAACTTCTTTTGGCTGCAATCACAGCTGCAAGCCACCTGTCAATTATAGTTAGGTCCTTTAGGATGGACCATACAGGGACCTGTATGTGTCGACAGAATGCATCCTCCGTCTTCTCTGTGTCCAGATCAGCCAAACACCCTCAGCTGTGGCAGAGTCACCCTCATGCAGAGTTGCCTCAGCCACATTTCTGTTTGCTGCCAAGGAGTTTCATCTGAGTTCTCATCCATCTTCGACACATCCCGGGATGACGAGAACACAGCGCTCTCCCGAGATGAGCAAGCGTTCCTAAATATCATGAACTCTGAGGTCACTCTCAGCGAGGAAGGGAATTGGATCGCCTCTTTGCCCTTCAAAGCAGACAGGCCTACCTTGCCTCCCAACAGACAGGTAGCAGGTTGCATCTTTGAGACGCAGGCCCGTAGCCAGGATTTCGTTTCGGGGGGGGGGGGGGGCTGAATTTTTTTTCAGGGGGGGTTTCGGGGGGGCTGAGTTTCGGGGGGGGGCTGAGTCTGAGTGAAAGAGGGTCTAGCCTAGCAAACCTTTTGTATCATTACCCCAATACCCCCATGCATATGGGATATATTGAGTATGGTGATCAGATCATGATATGAATAAACATAACAGTTTAAATAATGCACCAATAAGGCCTTTTCGCGAACCACCATGAAAATTTCGGGGGGGGGCTGAAGCCCCCCGAGCCCCCCCCCCCCCCCCCCCCGGCTACATGCCTGTTGAGACGCAAGATGCAGCATGATCCCAAGACTAAGCAGCAAATCATTCAGTTTATAGATGACATGTTTACAGCAAGGTAATCTGAGCCATCCAGCCCTGGCTCGGACAAAGAAGAGTCTTGGTTTTTTCCTTTCCATAAGGTCACTCACCCGCAGAAGCTGGAAAAGGTGCACATTGTGTTTGATGCCAGCGCCAAATGCAAGGACATCTCATTGAATGACAAGGGACCAGACCTTCTGAACAGCCTCATCGGAGTCATACTTAGCTTCAGGGAATCCAAGTATACTGTCATCGCTGACATCTTTAAAATGTTTTATGCGTTCCTGGTCACACCGGAGCATAGAAAGTTCTTAAAGTTTTTATGGTTTGAAGACACCCAGGCTCTGACGGGTTTGAAAGCCTTCCAGATGCGGGTCCATGTGTTTGGAAACACACCAGGACGCGGGCACCCAGTCCAGCTTAGGCTTGCTTTGGGACACCCGTCTGGACCTCTTGTCAGTCAGGGTTACACGGTTCACTGGCGTGAACACCAAGAGACAGATGTTATCGGCAGTTAATGGTGTTTTCGACCCATTGGGAATGGCCGCCCCTGTCATGATAACAGCCAAGCTCCTCTTTCGAGAGGTCATCGAAAGCAAACTGGACTGGGATTAGGAACTTCCTCAGTCCATCAAAAACTCTTCAACCACTTGGGCCGCCCAGGCTCAAGATTTACACCAGTTGAGCATCCCATGCCAATTCACGGCCAGGAGCCCTTTGCAAGGCTCGCACACCGAACTCCATGTCCTTTGCGATGCCTCGGAGAAAGCCATTGCAGCTGCGGCTTACGCCAGGCAAGAGGACTCTAGTTCTTGCACTTTGGGTTTTGCTACGGCCAAAGCTAAGATTGCTCCATCTAACGCCACTGTCCCTAGGTTAGAGCTCTGTGCTGCTGTGCTAGCCATCTAATTAGCTCAGATAATTAGGAGAGAGACTAGGCATTTCTTTTCAGTCATCTTTACTTGTTTAGTTAGCCGAGCCATTCACATCGAGGTCATTGAGTGTATGGATACTTCTGCCTTTTAAAATGCTTTAAAGAGGTTTATCTCCATCAGGGGTCCTGTTAGAACAATCAGATTGGATTGTGGCACAAATTTTGTCGGGATAACCAAAGAATTAGACTGTGTTGTTAAGTTTGCCAAAGACCCAGTGTCGACAACCATTTGAATGCAGAAAAGGTTACATGGCTATTTAATGTACTGCATGCGTCTCACATGGGGGGGTGGGGGTGGGAACGTATGATTGGTTTGTGTAGAAAGATTTTAAATGCTATGTTTTTAGAGTGTAAGAATTTGACTCATGATGTTTTGTTTACTTTGATGGCGGAGGTGACAGCTATTGTAAATAGTCACCCATTGGTGCCCATCACCACAGACTCGGACATTCCACAGCTTCTCACTACTGCTTCCATTTTGACTCAAAAGACTTCTGAATGGCTGGAAATTATGTACCCTGTCCCCGAAGGATCTTACAAAGCACTCTGGAAACAAACTCAAATTCTTGCCAACCAGTTTTGGAGACGCTGGAAGGCAGAGTACCTGGCTCAACTCCAGAGTCGCAGGAAGTGGAAAGACTCTAAGCCCAACCTCCAAATTGGGGACATTGTTTTGCTGAAAGACAAATTCTTACCTTGTTTCAAGTGGCCCTTGGCCAAAGTTACAGAGACCTTGCCAAGTCCGGACGGATTGGTAAGGAAGGTGAAACTAAGAGTGTGCCAAAATGGCAATGTTTCTGCGTTACACAGACCAATTTGTGATATTGTGTTGTTATTGAATGGGTAATTGTTCATTGCCAAATTAGATTTGTCATTGTTATAGTGTAGATTTCTCATAATTGAGAAATCTAGGCCAGGAGTGTGCAGGTACAGCTGTACCAGGAGCTCCAACTTCGTTTGCTTTGCATTGAATGTTTGTTGTAGTCCTAAGTTTCAGGGACTCTGTAGATAGGCAACTTCTTTTGGCTGCAATCACAGGGCAAGCCACCTGTCAATTATAGTTAGGTTCCCTGGTCCCGCCCCCTTTTTGGGTTTTTGGAGGGAATAGGTGCCATTTTGGGTTCAGTCCACACAGAGAAGCCTTTCATGCAGGACATAATACCAAGAGCTCCTGTAGAAAGCTTCGTTTTCTACAGCTTGGCCAGGGAGAAAGGTCCCGTAGCTTGGCTGAGGATTATACAGCCTTACAGCTCCTTTGCTGAGGGACTTCAGCCAGCCATCACAGAAACTTGAACTCCCTTTTCCTCTGGAAGTCTACAAAGCTCTGCTTGGAAAGGGTCACTCGTGGAAGCCAGAAGCAGTTGGTATCGGGTGCAGGGGCTCCACGCCAACAGAGGCAAAGATAGACTGCCCAGATTAGAAGTTCAGGATTTCCCCATTAGTTAGTATACAGTTATGAAGATAGTGCCTGTTCCCCGAGGACAAGATTGAGAGAGAGCCAATAGACTGTTAAGAAAGCCTTAAAGTACCTGTTTGTTTTCAATAATAAAGAACTTTGTAGAACCTTTAAGCAATCTAAAGACTGTGTTTTAAGGAAATCCAAGGGCCTTTAATCTGAGGCAGCCCCGGTGTCCCGTTGGGCACACAGAATTTATGTCCTGTCTACAGTCTTATGCACAGGCCCAGCGTGCGACAGCACAAAGCAGGTAATGTGGATAATGTGGAAGGGGCCACAGTGGTGCAACGGGTTAAACCAGGCATGGGCAAACTTGGATCCTCCAGGTGTTTTGGACTTCAATTCCCACAATTCCTAACAGCCTCCGGCCCCTTACTTTTCCCTTTCTTTTTCCGCTTAGGTGGCTGAAGGGGAAAAGGAAAGGGCCTGAGGCTGTTAGGAATTGTGGAAGTTGAAGTCTAAAACACC